CTGGAAGAAAAAAATAATAATGTCAGTATTATACATGTTTGATGTTATTTATATTATTTTTCTGTTTATATTTCTTTCTCTTTTTCTTTCTCTCCAATTTTATTCTCTTTCTCTCTCATTCTCTTTTTTTTTTCTCTCTCTCTATCTCTTTCTCTCAATTTCTTCTCTCTCTCTCTCTCTCCCATTTTCTTCTCTCTCTCTTTCTCCCATTTTCTTCTCTCTCTTTCTCTCCCATTCTTTCTCTTCTCTCTCTCTCTGTGTATTACAAGTTTTATCTATCTATCTATCTATCTTCCTTTCTCTTTCTCTCCCATTAAAGATAATAATTTTAATCTTTAATAAAAAAAAAATCATAATGTCAGTATGTCAGTTTTTGATTTTTAATTAAGAAAAAAATCTAATGTTAGTGTTACTAGTTTTAATTTTTTTTTTTTTTTTTTTTTTTTTTTTGAAAATTAATGTCAATAATATTTTTATATTTAATTTGAAAAAAAAAAACTTTTTTTTTTTACATTATTGTTATTACTATTATGATTATTATTATCATTATTATTATTATTATTATTATTTACATTTTATGTCAGTTTTTATTTTTTTCATTAAAAAAAAAATCTGTCAGTATCACATTTTTTTTTTTTTTTTTTTTTTTAAGTGGTGTCAAGTTTATTTTTTAACATATTTGATGTCAATATTATAAGTTTTTAACTTTTATTTGTTTTCAAAATTTTTATATCAATATTATAAGTTTTATTTTTTATAATTTTTTTTTTTTTTTTATGTCAATATTAATTAGCTTTTAATCTTTTAATTAATTTTATTTTATTTTATGTTTTTTTATCTAATGTTTGCAATTTCTAAATTAAGAAAAACATATTTAATATCATTATTATAAGTTTATTGTTTTCTATTTTTTTGTTTTAATTTTTAGAATTTTCAATGTCAGTCTTTAACTTTTTATTAAAAAAAAAAAAAATCAATGTTAAAAGTTTAATTTTTGAAAAATATAATAATAAGTTTTTAAATTTTATAGTAATTTTAAAAATCATAAAGTTTCGATTTTTTTTTTCCAAAATCTTACTACTGACTTGAGAATTTATTAAATATTTTTATTAATAATTTAATAGTTAATTAATTAAATAATTAATTAATTAATAATATTATAATACACTATTATTATTAATAATAATATAATAATACAAAATATAATAACAATATAATAATAATAGTAATAGCAATGATATATCTTAATGATAAAAATAAAAATATTAATAATAATGGTAATAATGATAATAGTAGTAATAATAATAGTAATAATGATAATAAGAATAATAATAATAATTGATTGGTGAACATTTAAATGAGGAAGAAGGAGAGAGAGAGAGAGAGAGAGAGAGAGAGAGGAGTTGATAAAAGAGGGAGAGAGAGAGAGGAGTTGATAAAAGAGGGAGAGAGAGAAAGGGGTTGATAAAGGAGGGAGAGAGAGAGGGGGGTTGATAAAAGAGAGAGAGAGAGAGGGGGGTTGATAAAAGAGAGAGAGAGAGGAGTTGATAAAAGAGAGAGAGAGAGAGAGAGAGAGGTTCATAAAAGAGAGAGAGAGAGAGGGGTTGATAAAAGAGAGAGAGAGAGAGAGAGAGAGGTTGATAAAAGAGAGAGAGAGAGAGAGAGAGAGAGAGAGAGAGAGAGAGAGAGAGAGAGAGAGAGAGAGAGAGAGAGAGAGAGGGGTTGATAAAAGAGAGAGAGAGAGAGAGAGGGGGGGTTGATAAAAGAGAGAGAGAGAGAGAGAGAGAGAGAGGGGTTGATAAAAGAGAGAGAGAGGTTGATAAAAGAGAGAGAGAAAGAGGGGTTGATAAAAGAGAGAGAGAGAGAGAGAGAGGTTGATAAAAGAGAGAGAGAGAGAGGGGTTGATAAAAGAGAGAGAGAGAGAGAGGGGTTGATAAAAGGGGAAGAGAGAGAGAGAGAGAGAGAGAGGTTGATAAAAGAGAGAGAGAGAGAGGGGTTGATAAAAGAGAGAGAGAGAGAGAGAGTTGATAAAAGAGGGAGAGAGAGAGAGAGAGAGGGGTTGATAAAAGAGAGAGAGAGATAGGGGTTGATAAAAGAGAGAGAGAGAGAGAGGGGGGTTGATAAAAGAGGGAGAGAGAGAGAGAGAGAGGAGTTGATAAAAGAGAGAGAGAGAGAGAGGTTGATAAAAGAGAGAGAGTGAGAGAGGTTGATAAAAGAGGGAGAGAGAGAGAGGGGGGGAGTTGATAAAAGAGAGAGAGAGAGAGAGAGGTTGATAAAAGAGGGAGAGAGAGAGGGGTTGATAAAAGAGAGAGAGAGAGAGAGAGAGGTTGATAAAAGAGAGAGAGAGAGAGAGAGAGAGAGAGAGAGAGAGAGAGAGAGGTTGATAAAAGAGAGAGAGAGAGAGGGGTTGATAAAAGAGAGAGAGAGAGAGAGAGGTTGATAAAAGAGAGAGAGAGAGAGGTTCATAAAAGAGAGAGAGAGAGAGGTTGATAAAAGAGAGAGAGAGAGAGGTTGATAAAAGAGAGAGAGAGAGAGAGGGGGGGAGTTGATAAAAGAGAGAGAGAGAGAGAGAGGTTGATAAAAGAGGGAGAGAGAGAGGGGTTGATAAAAGAGAGAGAGAGAGAGAGAGAGGTTGATAAAAGAGAGAGAGAGAGAGAGAGAGAGAGAGAGAGAGAGGTTGATAAAAGAGAGAGAGAGAGAGGGGTTGATAAAAGAGAGAGAGAGAGAGAGAGGTTGATAAAAGAGAGAGAGAGAGAGGTTCATAAAAGAGAGAGAGAGAGAGGTTGATAAAAGAGAGAGAGAGAGAGGTTGATAAAAGAGAGAGAGAGAGGGGTTGATAAGAGAGAGAGAGAGAGGGGTTGATAAGAGAGAGAGAGAGAGAGAGGGGGGGGGTTGATAAAAGAGAGAGAGAGAGAGAGAGGTTGACAAAAGAGAGAGAGAGAGAGAGAGAGAGGGGGGGTTAATAAAAGAGGGAGAGAGAGAGGGGTTGATAAAAGAGGGAGAGAGAGAGAGGTTGATAAAAGAGAGAGAGAGAGAGAGAGAGGGGTTGATAAAAGAGAGAGAGAGAGAGATAGAGAGAGAGAGAGAGAGAGAGAGAGAGAGAGAGAGAGAGAGAGAGAGGGGTTGATAAAAGAGAGAGAGAGAGAGAGAGGGGTTGATAAAAGAGGGAGAGAGAGAGGGGTTGATAAAAGAGAGAGAGAGAGAGAGGGGGGTTGATAAAGGAGAGAGAGAGAGAGAGAGCGGTCGATAAAAGAGAGAGAGAGAGAGAGGGGTTGATAAAAGAGAGAGAGAGAGAGAGAGGGGTTGATAAAAGAGAGAGAGAGAGAGAGGGGTTGATAAAAGAGAGAGAGAGAGAGGGGGGTTGATAAAAGAGAGAGAGAGAGAGAGGGGTTGATAAAGGAGAGAGAGATAGAGAGAGAGAGAGGTTGATAAAAGAGAGAGAGAGAGAGAGAGAGCGGTCGATAAAAGAGAGAGAGAGAGAGAGGGGTTGATAAAGGAGAGAGAGAGAGAGAGGGGTTGATAAAAGAGAGAGAGAGAGAGAGGGGTTGATAAAGGAGAGAGAGATAGAGAGAGAGAGAGGTTGATAAAAGAGAGAGAGAGAGAGAGAGAGAGCGGTCGATAAAAGAGAGAGAGAGAGAGAGGGGTTGATAAAAGAGAGAGAGAGAGAGAGGGGTTGATAAAGGAGAGAGAGATAGAGAGAGAGAGAGGTTGATAAAAGAGAGAGAGAGAGAGAGAGCGGTCGATAAAAGAGAGAGAGAGAGAGAGGGGTTGATAAAGGAGAGAGAGAGAGAGATAGAGAGAGAGAGAGAGAGAGAGGGGTTGATAAAAGAGAGAGAGAGAGAGCGGTCGATAAAAGAGAGAGAGAGAGAGAGGGGTTGATAAAAGAGAGAGAGAGAGAGGGGTTGATAAAAGAGAGAGAGAGAGAGAGAGAGAGAGAGGGGTGTTGATAAAAGAGGGAGAGAGAGAGAGGGGTTGATAAAAGAGAGAGAGAGAGAGAGGGGTTGATAAAGGAGAGAGAGAGAGAGGGGTTGATAAAAGAGAGAGAGAGAGGGGGGTTGATAAAAGAGAGAGAGAGAGGGGGGTTGATAAAAGGGAGAGAGAGAGAGAGGGGTTGATAAAAGAGAGAGAGAAAGAGGGGTTGATAAAAGAGAGAGAGAGAGAGAGAGGGGTTGATAAAAGAGAGAGAGAGGGGTTGATAAAAGAGAGAGAGAGAGAGGGGTTGATAAAAGAGAGAGAGAGAGAGAGAGGGGCTGATAAAAGAGAGAGAGAGAGGGGGGTTGATAAAAGGGAGAGAGAGAGAAAGGGGTTGATAAAAGAGAGAGAGAGAGAGGTTGATAAAAGAGAGAGAGAAAGAGGGGTTGATAAAGAGAGAGAGAGAGAGAGAGGGGTTGATAAAAGAGAGAGAGAGAGAGAGAGGGGCTGATAAAAGAGAGAGAGAGGGGGGGGTTTGATAAAAGGGAGAGAGAGAGAGAGGGGTTGATAAAAGAGAGAGAGAGAGAGAGAGAGGTTGATAAAAGAGAGAGAGAGAGAGGGGTTGATAAAAGAGAGAGAGAGAGAAAGGGGTTGATAAAAGAGAGAGAGAGAGAGGGGTTGATAAAAGAGAGAGAGAGAGAGGGGTTGATAAAAGAGAGAGAGAGAGAGGGGTTGATAAAAGAGAGAGAGAGAGAGAGGGTTGATAAAAGGGGAAGAGAGAGAGAGAGAGAGAGAGAGGTTTGATAAAAGAGAGAGAGAGAGAGGGGTTGATAAAAGAGAGAGAGAGAGAGAGAGGTTGATAAAAGAGAGAGAGAGAGAGAGAGGGGCTGATAAAAGAGAGAGAGAGAGAGGGGTTGATAAAAGAGAGAGAGAGATAGGGGTTGATAAAAGAGAGAGAGAGAGAGAGGGGGGTTGATAAAAGAGGGAGAGAGAGAGAGAGAGAGGAGTTGATAAAAGAGAGAGAGAGAGAGAGGTTGATAAAAGAGAGAGAGAGAGAGAGAGGGTTGATAAAGAGAGAGAGAGAGAGA